CTTGTTTTAACGCTCAGTAATAAGCGTTAGAAAATCGCTTCGGTAAAATTCACCCAGTGTAACTCCAATGCTATGTGGCATAAATAAGTGTAACTCCGGAGGGTTAACAACATTTGATTGATTTCGTCGATTATAAATCGAAACAACATACAAATATGTTGTATGTTTATGCGTGTTACAATTTATAAAACTTTTTCATTAAGAAAAAAATTTCGATTTTCTTTTTATAGAAGTTTGCACACGCGCGTATGCAAAAATATATTACAACGACCAAGTAAATGCGTACTTATATCGCTCAGATTGCCCTGTTTTTTTAATTCTAGCAGCATATCAACAAAGTCGTGTCTAACAATGTTATTCTTTTCTCTATAATCCATAGTCTCGCGAATAACACGCATGAAGAAACTGACGTGTTCTGGTCTTGGTAAGATGCCGATGAGAGTAAGAAAGGAATAAACCTTCGGTACAATATCTCTGAGTCTGAAGCGTATTAAATTCATCCAAGTCGGAGCAAATATCGATCTTCCCATTTTACGAAATTCGGCATCTTCGTTTGCCAATGAATTCATTTCGATGCCAAAAGCGCAGCTACCGATAACATCGGTTGTGTACTTAGCCGTGAGTTCGCGGCATTCCACATATTTGTTTTGACTCGTCAATATATCTGTATATTTTTCGAGATGGTCGGCGCATTCTGATATCAGGTGAAACATCTCTTTCAGTTTGCCGGATGTGAAAACAGGTGTCAATTTCGTTCGTAACGGTCGCCATCTTTTTGACTCCAAGTTGAAAAGATGTAACAACAACGGATTTGCCTGTATGATATAATAAAAGATTGCATAAAGATTCTTGTCAAAAAATACATACCTATTTATTTTGCTTCTTTAATTTAGTTAGTAAAATATAACCGTAAACTTTCACACCTTTTCGTCGTAGTTCATTCCTCTGTCGGCAAACGTAGTGAAATCCTTGATGAGAACATCTTTAATTAAATCTGGATCATTTACGACAAGTAGAGGCGTTCTTTGAGAGAATATTCCAATTAACGGTTCGTCTTTGTACGTGCTATATAATTCTGACATATATTCGGTTATACTCTTTTTCACAAGAAGAACATCCTTCATTGTACCAAAGATCGGTATTGGTCGTGGTCCGCGAACTCCGCGTGATTTCCAAAAGCCAAAAGTTGATGTAAAGTAATAATAAATCGCAAGAATTACGACGGAAATGCCGCACAGTATCGTTACAAGATCCATTGCTCGGTAATTGTCGATTGCACACTCACGATCTTTGTTAAAAGAAAAAACATGTTCTGTTAAATAGTTCTTTAGGTACAGATGTCAAGTTAATTAAGATAAGGACAATCTTATTTAAATTGTTTTTATTTGATATTATTAGGTTTTAATCGGATATTAGTTTTTACTTCGCAGTATGTTTTGGATAATATTATTTTTTTATATGCAGTATTCTAATTATATAAAAAATGACATTCAGAATAGTGTTCAAGATGTAACATACCTGAAAATGTCGATGTAATGTCCACTCACAATATAGAATAGAATGTGCTTTTCTTTCTATTGATATTGGAAATAACACTGACTTACAACTCTGACTTACATACTCTGTGAGATATACTGCGTTTAATACGTAAATTTTTTGATATATGTGGTTCTGTTTGATGTCATATCTTCAAGATTCAAGCTTTCATTTACACACAGTATTCGTATCATACAATGACTCCGCGTAGATATCAGTGTGAAGCAAGGCAGATAACGATATAAAAATTATGGATAAGTGGGAGTTTGTGCCACTTATCAAAAATAGTCTGGTACAATATCGAAAGTATCATAAAGTATTTTTTAATTAATCAAAGCATGACTAGCAAAACCAGTAAAGATATGATAGTCTGCTCGCACTTTTATTGTTTTATTAGCTTCAAAGTTGAAGTATAAATAACTTATGTTTTATATATAAGTTTACATTTCATCTTTTCACTTATATTTTATAGTTTTGCGTTTTTATAAATATATAAATATATAATATTATATATAAATATATTTTATAAATATATAATATTATAAATTTACCTTAACACGTAATAATGAAAACATAAAGATATTTTTCAAGACATACTTAATGAGTCATGAGTCCAAGAGAAATATACATAGTTATTTATCGAAAGATAACAAATCTGATGTTCTACTTATATATTAAAAATGAAGAAAAATTTGTTTTTATGCCAAAAATATTTCTATATAGTTAAAACAAAATATATGGAAATGTACATAATTCGGGACGTCATATTAGCACGACGGAGGAACGTTATAGTTTTAACTTTATCTACATATTTGAAGTTGTAAACCACAAAGTCACTATCAAAGTTATTTAAAAATTTACTCTGTAAAAAGTACAAGTTACGAAGTAACTTATATTATCGAGTATGTTTAGAGTAGCGGACTCTGGTCAGAAACTCCAAAGATCATGATTTATCTCCGACTCAGAGAAGAGAAAAAAATATCCTACCTAAAAAATATACAACCTAAAAGCAATCAACAGCAATCTGTGTGTGTGCATTCCATGCGTCATCTCAGTCACAAATAAACAGTAACATTTTTGTATGAAAATCTCAAGAGATTATCAGTAAACAAGTGAATGACATAAATATAATACGGAAAAACTCTTTTGTTTATTCGTACATGAATCTTCATATTACACAACAAGAGCGGATTGAGAAACCTTTCAGAACAGAGATAAATTGCTTTTATACGTACTTCTATATGTACTGTTTTTGTGTGTCACTTCTTTGAATTTTTATCTTAACGTTTTTCTATTTTGTTTTCTCATATTCATACATATTTTTACATATTGTTTCATATATATTCAGATTGTCATATATATTAGAACATAATTTTTTTAAACGTAGTTACTTTAAATTTACAAAAACAATCGACTCTCAAGTCTTCTCAATTTTAGTTATCTTCAAGACTATTCCACCAACAGGAGATAAAAGCACCGCTTTAGAATTTATACGATAAGGTATTTGTGTTTCTTTGCAAGTTTCAAATTTGTAATTTCGCAGCAACTTTACAAGTCCAATTTTGGTTTGATAAGTTCCGAAGCGGGAACCTGTGCAAATAAAAACCGACTGAATTGAAGAAACTATTAAACTTCTCTATTACAAAAACATTTTCTAATAAAAAGACGTATTTAAAAGATTTGAGCTTTTGCAACATACCNATGCAATTNCTTGGACCGTCCCCGAAAGGTAAGTANAACATCGGATGTCTGGATTTTACAGCTTCGTCGCTAAATCTCTCCGGGTCAAAAACGTCCGGGTCCGGATAAATATTTGGATCGCGCTGAAGAGCACCATTTGGAATCAGTATTTTTTGTTTTGCTGGTATACTGACATTTGTACCATTAAAAGTATAACTGGATGTTGTTTTTCTCATGAGAGTTGTCAACGGTGGATATTTCCGTAAAGTTTCTGTGTACACAGAAAAACAGTAACTTTTAGATAAATGAAATAAGTTTTATAGAATAGTGTTTCCTAGAATAAAATTTTCAATTTCCTAAACTATTGTTACTCTTATTGCGTTACAAAAATCTATATGTGCATTATAACACGATATCATTTCTGATCTTCAATATACATAATGTAATTGTTACTAAAATTTCTTATTTTATCGATTAGAAATAACATACCTTTGAAAACTTTATCTAAATATCGCATTTCTTTCACGTTNTCATACGTTAAATTGTCACCATATTTTGTATATGTCTCATCAATTTCCTCACGTAGCTTATCTTGTATTTCCGGATTCAATGCCAATTCGTACAAAGCGTGACTCATGGTANTCGATGATGTTTCAAAACCGGCCACAAAAAATACAAATGCTTGAGAGGCTATTAAATTGTCAGTCACTTCTGAAATCATAATTATAGTATAACATATTTTTACTTAACATTATGCACTTTTTATAATGCAATACAAATCGATTGATTTCATCAATTATATACTAAAACAACATTCAAGTGGTGTATATTTATGCATGTATAATTTTATAAAACTTTTCTTATAAAAAGAAAAACGTTTCAAATGTTTTCCATGGAAGTTTTCAATAATCAAATGCAAAATATATTACAACAATATATATTACTACGAAGTAAATGCTTACTTATATCGCTCAGATTGCCCTGTTTTTTTAATTCTAGCAGCATATCAACAAAGTCGTGTCTAATAATGTTATTCTTTTCTCTGTAATCCATATTCTCGCGAATAACACGCATTATGAAGTTGATATATAGTGGTCTTGGTAAGATGCCGATAAGAGTAAGAAAGGAATAAACCTTCGGTACAATATCTCTGAGTCTGAAGCGTATTAAAGTCATCCAAGTAGGTGCGAATATCGATCTTCCCATTTTGCGGAATTCGGCATCTTCGTTTGTCAGTGAATTCATTTCGATGCCAAAGGCGCAGCTACCGATAACATCGGTTGTGTACTTAGCTGTCAGCTCGCGGCATTCAACAGGTTTGTTTTTGCTCACTAGTGTATCTGTATATTTTTCGAGATGGTCGGCGCATTCTGATATCAGGTGAAACATCTCTTTCAGTTTGCCAGATGTAAAAACAGGTGTCATTTTTGTCCGTAACGGTCGCCATCTTTTTGACTCCAAGTTGAAAAGATGTAACGATAGCGGATTTGCCTGTTTGACATAATAAAAGATTGCATAAAGATTCTTGTCAAAAAATACATAGCTATATATTTTGCTTCTTTATTTCAGTTAATAAAATGTAAGCGTAAATTTTCACACTTTTTCGTCGAAGTTTATTCCTCTGTCGGCAAACGTAGTAAAATCCTTAATGAGAACATCTTTAATTAAATCTGGATCGTTTACGACAAGTACAGGCGTTCTTCGAGAGAATATTCCAATTAACGGTTCGTCTTTGTACGTGCTATATATTTCTGACATGTATTCGGTCATACTCTTTTTCACAAGAAGAACATCCTTCAAGTTACCGAAGATCGGAAGTGGTCGTGGACCGCGCACTCCACGTGACTCCCAAAAGTCAAAAGTTGACGTAAAGTAATAATAAATCGCGAGAGATACGACGGCGATGCCGCACAGCATCGTTACAAGATCCATTGCTCGGTTAATGTCGATCGATTTGCACACGCGCGATCTTTGATGAAAAGAAAAACATATTGTGACAAGAAAAGAATATCTACTTACAAATGTCAAATTATGATAAAATAAGTCCTTATTCAATTGTTTTAATTGGATATTATTATTTTAATAAACAGTATTTTTTAGGATGTTATTATTTAAATGTTACTATATTATTATTATATATATTACTCTCATTGTATAAGAAATAACAATCAAAATAGTGTTCAAGATATAACATACCTGAATGTCAATAGTCACTCACATAAATTGTGCGTTTTTTTAAATTAATATCGGAAATAACACTGACTTACAACATTGAAATGTACTGCATTAAATACGTAATTTTCTCGATTGTATGGTTTTGTTTGATGTGACATCTTCAAGGTTCAAGCTTTTATTTATACACGGAATTCGTATTATACAATGACTCTGCGTAGATATCAGTGTGAAGTAAGTCAGATAACGATATAAAAATTTTAGATAAGTGGGAGTTCGTGCCACTTATCAGAAATAGTCTGGCACAATATCGAAAGATCATCAAGAAATGTATAATCATCCAAAGCATAATTAGATAAAATCAGTAAAGATTTAATGGTCAAAAGATCTGCTCGCACTTTTATTGTTTTATTAGCTTGAAAAAAAAAGTTGAAGTATAAAGTTGAAGTATAACTTACGTTTTTTAATATTTTATATTTCACTTATTATATTTTATAGTTTTGCGTTTTTATAAATATAAATTTACCTTAACACGTAATAATGAAAAAACATAAGGATATTTTTCAAGACATACTTAATGAGTCACGAGTCCAAGAGAAATATACATAGTTATTTATCGAAAGATAACAAATCTGATGTTCTACTTATATATTAAAAATAAAGAAAAATTTGTTTTTATGCCAAAAATACTTCTATATAATAAAAACAAGTTATCTGGAAAGGTAGATAAATTGCGGGATGCAATTATATTGGCGCGACGGAGGAACGTCATGGTTTTATCTTTATCTACATATTTGAAGTTGTAAATCATTGTCAAAGTTGTCTGAGAATTTGCTTTGTAAAAGGTAAGATACAAGTTACGAAGAGAGATTATATTATCAAATACGTTCAGAGTAGCGGACTCTGGTCGGCAACTCCGGAGATTTCATCTCCGATCCTGCAAGAAGAGAAAAATATACCTACTAACTAAAAACTATATACAAACATGTTCCAACATAACGGAACACACATATTAATATTTTGTAAATGATATATATATATATATAATGTGTTTGCTTATTAAAAAAAAAATAAGTTTTATTACATATAACAGTTTTAATAAAGTTTTACACACTTCTGCGGCGGAATAATGGATCAATACGTACGATACTGGCTCAATATCAACTTTCAATATCGATATAAATGGTTGACACCGCGTCAGACTTATCATCTCAGCATTCTGCCAGAATTGAATCTATATTAACGGTCAGTATGCTGGCAATACCCCAATACGATACGCTATTATTGCGCCAGTAAAATCCTACCTGGAATATTGTGTGAAAACATGTTATGTTTTTTACTTCTCTTATCTTTTTTATCTAATTGGAACACCAAGCTTATTTCAGTTTCAATTTTAACAAATACCTATAAATTTTTGCTCCGACTTGTGACTTTTATTATCTTGAAATATCGCTATGTTTTTTTATTACGTGTAACAATATAAAAGAAATAATACACATGTATATAAAATTGCACTCTAATTAGAGAACAAGGAGAACAAGAGACGTTATGTACTTTTTTTTGCTTAATTTCATTTTGTTTATACTTGGTAATTGCGAAGTCATTGTGCATGTACATGTGACTACCGCGATCAATATCTTGAAGATATCGCAACACACGATGTGTACCAGTGTGCACTGAGTGCGTCTTCTTTCAGTGTGTAGTGAAATACTTCAGTGTGCAATATTCTACTACACACTTAAAGAGAACACACTCAGTGCCCACTAGTGCCTCCAATCGAATTCGTCGTTTACATTTTTTATATTTTTTTTTCTTTTTATTTTTTTCAGTCGATTAAAAAAACCGATAATATAACAATTTGATGGACAATAGTTTTGGACAGGAGCCGCCAAGTTCTATTGTGCACATCGCTCCAAGTCTTTAACCGACATCTCGCTTGCTCATTCACGTGATTTGGATGACGACACTTAAATAGAATTACATAAGCAAGTTGGAAAGATGTCAATATGCAGGAAATTCTCCGTCATATTTGCCGAATATATCACTCAGACGTCAATCAGCTGCGCTAATGATGTTCTGTGCGCATCAGCATCCCAAGACAAGATTATGGCAATTACTGCACTATTAAATCTTTCTGTTTTTTCAATTAAGTTTTCTGTATTATTGTAACATCACTTTAGTTTTAAGTTATTGTTTTAAGGAAAACAGTTTTTTAAAATATTACTATTATAAAGTCTTTTTTTTTTTAATATTAGAAAAACCTCGATAACACATTTTTAATTTGTTTATAAGCTTGTCTTTTTTATGTCTCTTACATTTGAAGAAACTTCAAAGTAATTAAATCCGCATTTTGAAATGAATTCCAAGTAGAAAGTTCACGTTACGTGAACTGTGATGTCATTAATCATTCACGTGAACGTCAATCCGGTTCCCTGTTACACATGCTGAAAAAATTGAAAGTTACGGCCAATAAGAAATAGTCAGGCATCGCGATACATGGCACTTGACACGATACGCCTGATGATTGGCCCAGACACATAATTGCGGGAACACTGAGTTTATATAAACTGCCGCGCGTACATACAATTTTCGCACGGCCTTAATTGTGACTTCTATTGTGTCGTATAAGACCAGTTGACCGTCGTTTCTGTCCGTCGTGAAAGTGCGCGACTACGCAAACGGCGCGAGGTCTTTTATTTCCAATTTAAGTGCGGAATCTCAGCCGTTTTATTTTTGCACGCGGTTTGTGCGCGATACACATCGATCGCCTTTTGATCGATATATCGATATTTCTTTTCAGCACTTCTTTGCGATATATGTTGAAAACTTATGAATCTTCTTCCACGGTAAGTAACATATATAACACATTATGGTTTCTGTTACGTAAAGTGGATATATTTAAACCGGTATTCATAGTCGCATCTTCTATTTAAGATGCTATTCAGTTTCGTCGGCTTACAGAACATCTGAAGATTAAATTAAAGACGATCTTAAATACAAAATTCGCTTATATGAATACTGGTGTTAAATACAAGAAAATTTTTTTCCCCAACATCGAAATTGTTTGGAGAATGTGCAAGATCGCACAACGATATTTATGAAACTTATTTTCTTAAATAGATTTATTTATACAACTACAGAATGTGTTTAAAAATAACTACATTTTCATCACGTCTTAGTGTCAAACATGTTGATACATTGACGAAAAAATACATAAATATGGTTTTTCTAACAAAGACCACTGTGTTTTGTCTTACATATCTTTTGTTTTGCATATTTTTTATCTCAAAGCTTTAGAGCTCTTCTTTTCTTTTTATCACATGCATATTCGATTATGACATATATTTTTAAAATAAATTTTTTTGTCTCACATATATGTAGTCTAAACTTGTAAAAGCAATTAAGTCTTGTCAATTTTAGTTATTTTTAAGAATATTCCACCCAGTGGAGATAATGTTATTATCTTGGGATCTACGCGATAAGGTATTTGTGTTTTTTCGCAAGTTTCAAATTTGTAATTTCGCAGCAACTTTACAAGTCCAATTTTGATTTGATAAGTTCCGAAGCGGGAACCTGTGCAAATAAAAACCGACTGAATTGAAGAAACTATTAAACTTCTCTATTACAAAAACATTTTCTAATAAAAAGACGTATTCAAAAGATTTGAGCTTTTGCAACATACCGATGCAATTTCTTGGACCGTCCCCGAAAGGTAAGTAGAACATCGGATGTCTGGATTTTACAGCTTCGTCGCTAAATCTCTCCGGATCAAAAACGTCAGGTTCTGGATAAATATTTGGATCGCGCTGAAGAGCATCAACTGGAATCAGTAGTCTTTGGTTTGCTGGTATAGTGACATTTGTACCATTAAAAGTATAATTAGATGTTACTTTCCTCATTATAACTGTCGCTACCGAATATTTTCGTAAAGTTTCTGTATACAGAGAAAAATTCACGTTTTAATAAATAATAGATTTTTATGAATAAAGGATAAGTTTTTATTTATAAATAAAAAAACCTATAAGAGAGAGAATAATTTTTTCTAAAATCTACATATTGTTATCTTCATTGTTACAAATTTCTATTTTTGGAATACAATATCATCTTTAATTTATAATAATCTATTATCTGTAACTTATAATGTATAATCGCCGTATAATCGTTGTTATAACGAGATATACGTTGTTATATACTTATTTTTACTTATTTCAGTTTGCACGCGACATTACCTTTGAAAACTTTATCTAAATATTGCATTTCTTTCACGTTGTCGTATGTTAAACTGCTTCCGTATTTTTTATACATCTCATTAACTTCCTCACGTAATTTATCTTGTACTTTCGGATGCAATGCTAATTCGTATAAAACGTTGCACATGGTAATAGATGATGTATCAAAGCCGGCAACAAAGAATACGTATGCCTGAGCGACCAGCAAAGTGTCGGTTATTTCTGGAATATTATAACATATTAGTATTGTGTAATGTAATGATAAAATAAAATATTAAATGTAATTTATATAAATTAATAATAATTTCTAATTTATTAATTATTTTTAATTTATGAATTAATAATAATTTATGGTTTATTATGATAAATCACTATAATATGTAAGCACGTTCGTGGCTATAAAACGTATCTTACCAATATCACCCACTTTATCCTCTTCTTTTATTTTACGCAGCACGTCAATAAAGTCGTGTCGAACAATGTTATTTTTGTTTCTATATTCTATGGTTTCGTGAACAATATTCATAAAGAATTTGACATAGGTCGGTAGCGATAAAATACCGATAAATCTAAGGAAAGAAAAGATGCTCGGCGCAACTTGTCTGAGTCTGATTAAAAATACTTTTATCCAAGATGAATTTGTTACCATTTTTCCCATCTTACAAAATTCGGCATTGTCGTCTGTTAATGAATTCGTCTCGATGCCGAAGACGCAGTTACCGATAACGTTGGTCGTATACTTAGCCATGAGCTCGTGACATTCCACAGGTTCGCTTTTACTTGCTAATGTTTCGGTATACTTTTCGAGATGATCAGCGCATTCCGATACAATAAAAAACATCTCTTTTAGTTTGCCAGATGTGAAAATGGGCGTAAACTTAGTCCGTAACGGTCGCCATCTTTTTGACTCCAAATTAAAAAGATGTGGCGACAGCGGTTGTACCTACGATAAAAAAATTATATGAAAATTCTCGAAAAAGCATACTTCGCTCTTTTACTTCAGATAGAAATACATAACATAACTCACTTTTTCGTCGAAGTTAACTCCTCTTTCGGCGAATACGGTGAAATCTTTGATAAGAACATCCTTAATTAAATCTGGATCTTTCACAATAAGTATAGGTGTTCTTCTAGCGTATATTCCAATTAACGGTTCGTCTTTGTAGGTGCGATATAGTTCCGCCATATATTCACGCATACTTATTTTTACAAGAAGAACGTCTTTCATGTTGCCGAATATCGGTATCGGTTTTGGACCGCGAACTCCACGTAACTTCCAGAAGTCAAAGGTTTGTGTACAAAAATAATAAAATACCGTAAGAAATATGACCGCGATAACGCACACTACGGCTAGAGAATCCATTGTTCGATAGTTATCAATCGTTTTGCAACGATGACTGATGTTTGAACTGAAACTTTGATCTTAATATAGTTTTTAGTCACAAAAAGTCATGGTCACAGTTGATAAAACTAATATTGTTAGTTAAATATTATTCTAAATATATAAATATATATTCTAAATTATTCTAAATTATTCTAAATTATTCTATATATTCTAAATTATTCTAAATATATTATAAAGCATCACGCTCACGCAAATGCATAACTAATTGTTATTTGTTTCTGTACTACAACGTTTTAACATTACAAAATAATGAAATTATCATCCTGATTTACTGGTGATAAATATTTATTGAGAAAGACATAACTGTTGAATTATGAAAAAAAAAACATATACGTATACTACAAGTATATCGAAAGACTAGTTACACTTTTTCAATATTTATCATTTTGCGATTAACTAAAGGAGTATAAACTAATGGAAGGTGTTTCGTAGAATCGCGACGGTTATCGAAATCGATTGATGTGAACAGTAAATTTGATATGATCAATTGATATAATTTGTGTTTTGTTTTTGACATTATTTAGTCACAGTGTACGAAAGTAAGAGTTAGGACAAATCAATTTTTAACGAATCACAAATCACAAATCGCAAAAAAAGTACGTCCAAATTTTAAATGTAATTTTTAAGTATTAAGTATTATGTATTAAGTAGAATAATTAATAACGTTCAAAGATGTTTTTTCGGGTTTGAACCGCGTTAGTGTCATTTTTATACTGACGTGATACCAGTATCAGGCTGCTCTTCAAACCCTGATGAAGTGAGCTGTAATGTTCACGAAACGTCGGTATAAAAATGACACTAACGCAGTTCAAACTCGAAAAAACATCTTTGTATGTTAATACTACACACCGCGAAAGCATCAAATATCAAATTAATAACGTTATTAATGTTCACTGTAATAAGGTAGAACAAAGCTAGTTATTGTCTTATAACAACGTTGCGGTTTTTAATGTGACACAAAGAAAAAAGCCATCAGCTATTTGTTCTAAAATCGGTCACTTACCGGGAAGTAGAGTTGCCATCCAAGTGTCCGGGAAAAAAGAGAATAGCTACCTAATCTCAGAGTAACGCGGTAGAAATAAAGTAAAATATTTACAAGATTCCCTAAAACGGTTATAATCACCGCAGACGTTTTCGGAAAATCCGCTCAAACGTTCTCGGCATTCTAAAAAAAAGACAGTGTCGGAGGAAAAAAGAACGGATGGCAACTTTAACGGGAAGCCATTATAGAGAGTAATGAGACAATTTAAAATATTTAATAGTTTTAACTTTAAATTTAAATATTTTAAATTGTCTCATTACGTTGCAAACATTCAGTCGTGAGACATCAATTGACGCTTTGTACATTTCGACTAATATATTTTGTACATTTCGAATAATATCGAGTAATATTTTCTTCGATCCATCTCAAATAATGATGGACTTCGACACTGATTATCATATTGTTTTTTTACTTTTATAAAGATAAAAATATAAGGATTAAATAAGCGAATGGAACTACAAAAGTCCCTTGTGTTACTCAAATCTAAAAGATTCTCTGTGGCTTCCCCGCTGGTTTATATGCAGCTAAACTGTTTCAGCTCAGCTAAACATTTTCCGCCAGGTTGCACACAATGCTGATTTTGTTATTATTCAGGTCTTTGGGCTTCGAGAACACGGATTCCCGCATCTTTTGAGTAGAACAATCACGCAAAATGTGGAGACTGTCCTCTCTTTCTTTTCCACAAAATTTACAACTTATTCTTCTTTATTAGGTTTTATTTTTGTACATAAATAAAAAAAATCGTTGTGCTAGCTTTAAAACAGAGTAATAATTTTACACAAGGTAATAATTTTACACAATTCTCTTCTCAATTTTCGAACCTTTTTCTGGGAATGCGACGTCCTAGAAACACCATGTAGAACACGAAAATCCGCCACATTTCTTCTTTCAGCAAACACAAGCTAAATGCTTGCTCACTTACACACGTAAATAACATATGTACACAATAATATAACACCTGTTAAACTGATTGAAGGATGGAGCAATGCTTTTCACACAAGTTGGTTTTCTTGAACAGATTTATTTGTACAGGTACAAAAATCGTTTCAAAAGATTTTTAACCGCGCAATATGATAAAGAAGAGTGCTTACGAGAGATACTCACTTACGTCGTTAAGTTACGTGTTTACCTCTATTTGAGCACAGGATTGAGAAACTCTTCAATATTTCCGACATGCGTTGGTCCCATGTGGTGTTACAAGAAGGAACGTAGTACCGACAAATACCCCATAGACGTTTTCAGAACCTGCCGAATTGCTATGAGTAAATATTTACAAGAATATCTTTTATATTGCGGCGTGTCTACAAAAGAATCATAGCTCACATCGGTCAAAGTGCTGAGACAAAAGATGACAAATTTGCCCGCTGTCAGACAGAGCGGTTTTTGCGATCTCGCCATGCACAGTATTATCATTCGTGCGTTTTCCATCGGCATGTCGTACCAGCAACAATCGTAGAACGCTTCGCACACTTTAGCGCTCTATGTGACAGAAACAAATGCATTTAATTTTTGTCTACATATGCATTCGTATTTGTTCGGATTCTATAAAGTTGCAAACCGCGAAACACAAACCATAAATAAAACAAAAGAGAGAACAGGAATGAGGAAGTTTAGCATTTTGGTACATATTTATTAAAAAAACAAACTTCAAAATTATACGCGCACGTGGAAAAGCACGTCATTATAATATCTACATAGGCAATTTGTTTTATCACGATTTCGCATACATAGGTCTTTTATCTTTGTGTTGTAACATATGTTACCTCCGTCAGGAGACTCTCGCCTACAGTGCAGTGAGCGTAGAGTATAAGCAGTACTAAGAATTGAAATATCAGAAATGTAACGAGCACTCCTCTCTCGCCTTTAGCAAAATTCTATAAAAAAAAAAAAAAGTAGTAAACTCAAGAACACACAAAACAGCGTATCAAAAATTAAACAATGTAATTGTTATTACAAATATTCTCTTACAAGGTTTTTTTTATTCACAACTAATAGAGAAAATAAAGCCATTGAGATCCAAACACGTACGTGGAACATATTTCGTGTATTAAACTACACGTTTAAAAAAATATATTTCGTTTACATACGTCCAACGTTTGATTTCTCTATTAGTTAATTGTCGTTATTTATTACTGTTATGTTTTTCTCGTCGGACTTACTGTTAAAATTTGATAACCGAGAATGCACACGAGAGAAGTAGCTCCCAAAAGATGAGCCAATAACGTTGCGCTAAATGCCTTTTGTATCATTCTTCCCATTCTGAAAAAAATGCGTGTCTAAATGCAATCAATTTGTGAAATAATTATTGTATTCTGCGATTTATTAAAAAAGGTTTACTTGTTCGAAAAACATTTCCATTATTGATTGACTTATGATTTCGAGACAAGTAAAATTACTTGCAATAATTGTATTTTTTAAATAAAATATGAACAAAGAGTTAGCACATTTTATCGTTGTTTTTTTAATCGAAATAACGATGTGTATCGGCTTTTTATATTTTTTCAAGTATTTATCTTTTTTTTATCTACACATGAACTTACCGCAGCAGTCGTATGTGTGCGAGCACCACGTGTCGCACCTCTTGTCTGCATCTTCCGGGATTGGTGTCTATGCTGTTAATACGCAAAGCTAGAACAGACATCTGACCGCATATGTGAAATACAAGGGTGACCATGATACAATCGGCGGCGCTCTGTCCGAAGCCGCTGACAAACACGAACGGAAATTGCAACGCGTACGTGATCGTGTACGCGCGCATGTCGTCGATCGCGTAGAACATGTGAAAACGATAGGGCAACAAGTAAATTATTTGGGTGACGTTCTCGTTGATCACTATTTTTGGTAATCCTGGAAAAAAACAGATATTTTTATCAGTACTAGTCTTAAAAAAAAATTTAAAAATTCTTAACATAAGATTTACAAAAGAAACAAATTAAAGAATGGCATTGAAATGTTTTTTTTTTCCTCGTGCGCGTACGATAATTCTCTACAGATTCGCCGATCGAAATCAAGTTACGTAAACTCAATGACTCACACCGCTTCCGAGTATAATTATAATCGGCGTTAAGTAATACGACGAAGCCGTTAACGCGACGAACACCATCAGCAATTTGACGAAGATCTTTGATCTGGCGTTGTACGTGATGAACGCCTTCATCTCCTCGATGGTTCTGTAACTCGTCTTGTCGAAGTCCTTCATAGTCTCGGCTATCACTTCGCCGATCTCCCCGTTGTACAACCGCAGCATGCTCATACGCACGAATATCTGCGAGAACGCCATGTTCTCCGTCAGGTTCATGATCACGTGCTCGAGATCGCCGATAAACAGAAACAGATCCAGATATTCGAGAACCATGAAAAAACTGAAGTAGCCGAAATTGACGGAGAAGATGAGATTGTTGAATCGAAAGGGCCAAAGACCCAGCGTCGTCATCAGTCGTTTGTTCCAGGACAGCACTTCGGCCGCGCGGTCCAGGTCCTTTTGATCCTGACAAACGAAAGACATGATCAGACATGTCTTTTGAACGTAATTTCCAGATAACTTATCCTTTGATTTTTTGTTTTACGGCACATTTTTTCGAGGTTTAACATCAAAGAAACGCCGCGACTCACCTTCATGACGCTTTATTTTACAATGTTCCTCTCTCGACCGATCGTCCGAAACTGCGGCGAACGCACGGGAATCGTACGAGTTCATGAAATATGCCTGTTTTTCGGTGCCTAAAGCACCGTCTATGGTATCGTCCCATAGACTATTATAAAGTTGCCAACAATTGCGCTCGAAATTAGCGTGTACTGTACACACGAATTACTTATGAGCGTGTTACTTGATCCACCTGCGCTTTCGAGACAAATGCGCAGAATCATTCGCGATTGGCATCGACGACGCGGATTCACACGATTGCGAATACAAATGGCTGTCGAACGGTTCCAGGAACGCGATCACGAATACAAAAAAACTTCAGGTGCGCTTCTCCAAGTTTCATTATGAAACTATTACGCAGTGCAATTGGCGATAAACGGAGAGACTTGATTTTTCTGTTTCACTCTCGACATCCTAAAAGTTTAGATTATTTGAAGTTCTCTTTTTCTTTTAACAGTGTTTTATTAAACCTTCGATCAAGCTTTTATTCGTGTTCTGACAGAGCTATATATTATTAAATTAAAAATAAGTCTTTCTTCTATTTATATATTCTATAATATATTAAAATATAAAACCGCTTGTTTGTAATGGAAACACAAATGACAAACAGTTTCGAGCAAACTTGGATGTTGATATAGAATACACCTTTCAAAATTGACGTGAAGAAAAATTATTTTAGTTTTTTTATATCGCGTTATTGTTATCTTTGCGACAACTTCTTAAACATTTTTTATTACTTTTTCGGGACTCTGAAGAAAACTCTGTTACGAGTTTGAGAAACGTTTCGCTACTGTTTAATGTAATATATATCTTTTGCTGTATGTAAATATATTAAATAATCCAATTTTGCTCGAAAATTAAACCTTTATTTAATTATTTGTGTTCATGTTAAAAAATGTTAAACGAGAGATTTACAAAAACGAAATTAGATTTAATGCACAGCTTAAGGCAGTTTCTACGTGTATTTTCTATATAATAAATTAATTTAATATACAGATGTGTGTTCGATATTGTGCGTCGTGTAGGAACTGTCGTAATTTCTTTATAATAGAGTGCGTAGCATCGATAAATACGCCATAGAAGTTTTAATGACCTGCATCAAATATATATAGCAAATTATCTTAAAGAGTTTGATACTCTAAATATTTTAATTTCAAGAGTTTAATTCTCAATGTTTTTTATTTTTGTTTTCAAAATTTTACCTGCAAAGAAAATACCGCGCTGAAACACACTTACGTCAGTGAAACTGTTCAAGGAAAATATATAGAACTTTCCCGCGGTTAAGTAGAGCATAACTTGGCTACGAATCATGCAAATCAGCAGGCACTTCTTGCAGTTGAGCGGCATTTCGTACCAGTCGCATTCGTAATACGCATCTTGCATATTAACACACTAAACAATCGGATGGCACGTTATATATTTTATTATACAAAGAAGAATTGTTTTAAAAGTTTTTATCAGCGATGTCAAACAGACGAACGCAAATTTCATCGAACTTAAACGCGACTATTTTAACCAATGTTGTCCTGTAAAAAGGAACTCGTCACAAAATCGACTTGCTTCATTGTTTGACATCGCTGCTAAGTTTTTAATTTTCAGTACACACCTGTTGAGTCAACTGATCGCCGATCAAACAGTATCCGTAGAGTATTACGAGCGCGATGGCGGCGAAGAAAATAAAAGTGCAGCAGGTCGCCATCTCTGTCACTGACAGATTCTGAAGAAATGTTGTTTTGCACGTATAATATCTTTTTCGATTAACTAGACTTACCTTTTGATATTGTCAATGTTTTGTTTTTTTTAACAACGATGAGAGACAGTACTAACGTAATGACACGAACCATTATGACGTAATACATCGAGATAGCCAGTACAATGCTATTACCGAGGAGTTCATCCATCAGAATCAAATTGAAAGTATCGTCCACAGATTTCGCCATCCTTTCGTTGTAGTGTTCAAACGAGATTACGTGCAAAGAGAATAAAAACAGAGTACAGGAACTGAGGGCGAGGAAAAGAATAAAATGTGTTCTTCTCGTTTATAAGCCGCGACTTTGAAACGAGCTTACCATATTATCTTCAGATGCATTTGAACGAAATCGCGTATTCTATCCATCAGCATGCGCTGCGAATACGTTTCCATTTTTCTGATGCGGTACGACAGGATGGACAATTTGGCGCAAATGTGGAATACCAAAATCACCAGCAGACAGATCGACGCCATGTGCAGAATAGATCCGTAAATCATCGGGAACAGATACAGATACATCAGCACGTACGTGTGCGTGTCGGAGACGTCGAAAAACGGGTGTACCCTGTAGGGTAACATAAAAGACACCGTACCATTACGTGACGCTGGAAAAAAAAAAACCATCACACATTCCTGTGTAAAGTATAATTTTTGCTATTTTAAAATTTCTCGAAGAGTTTATTGTAACAATTTTTATAATAACTTTGAAGAATTCTAAAAAAACTTTGCTTTATAATTCTTAATTCGCTTATTAACAATAAATTGTGTAAACAATATATTGTAGTAAAAGAAACGCTTTTTTTTGTAGATCCAACACACAATTGGAGTTTTATAAATAATTAACAAGAAATTTTTTTTAACAAACTTCGTGTACCTTGATTACTGGTTGCTAAAATCACAAGCGGTCTGACGTACAGCAGCATAACCGTGATGAACATACCGACGATCGAGCTGTACGTGAACACTTTTGACGCGTAATTGTAATTGTAATATATCTTCTCTTCCTCGAGATTTTCAAATTTTTGCTTCGCCATGTCGTTTCTGATCGCGCCGATTAGCCGTTTCAGCAGACCGCTGCATCGGATCAGCCACAGCATCACGAACACCATGGTGTAAGCCATCGTTTCCACGAGATTCATTACCATCAGTTCCAGATTGCCGAACACGTCGTAAAAGTCGGTATACGCCATGGCGAGATACAGAGTGTAATGCGAAATGTAGATCGCAAAGCGAACATACGTCGGTTCAAACGGCCATATTCCACCGACGGAAAAAATGCGTTCTAAATGAACAAACAAATCTTCGATATGACGCGCTTCGGTCTGCAATGCAATATTGCGCGAACAGAAAAAAACAATTAATATAATTTGTCATACAATTAATATTAATTATTGAAATTATGACAAAAAATCTCATTTTCGCTTTCTTACGGGACGTAAATTGCCGTGGGATGGTTTTACTCTCATGGCGAACAGAGTTGCAAACTGATCGCTCGCGAAACTGCAACTTGCCTCGTTGCAAAATCACCGCCGGATCCTATTCAACGTTACAATTACGTTGATCAATGCGTGTACACGTGTACGCTACGCGTGCGTATCAATGCGATTCTCGAAACGGCAAATCCAACATTTGAAACACACAGTCGTGTTGCGTTATTACACGGCTCTCATCTGGTCATTCCGCTCTGTCTGATTCTATCTACAACAATATCGTATAAATGGAAAATTCAAACGTGCGCAACTATTACGCTCATCCAAGCTCTGATCTGAATTATTAAGTTGTTATTAGCTATCATTTTTTTCCTTTGGCGCATCAATTATCTTACTTATCTTTCTTAGACAAGTTACGCGGTTTCAGCTTAACATTTGAATATGCAATTACATCAATCCGCAACATCGGAACAATATTGTACACAAACCTCCATTAGATATTCATTAGACGCGACGTGACGTTATGAACATTAATGTTCATTAGATGGACATTATGTCTGAGTGTGTGTGAGATTGTTCCCATAAATAAGCATCATAACAAAAAAAAAATCAATTTTAAGTAACTTCAGAAATAATTGTTTGTAGGATTTGTTTTTCCGAGATCGCGGACCTCATGTGTTACATCTTTTACCTTTCATCGCTAAAACATTAGAGTTTCTTGTAACATTTACTCAGAAATGAGACAATAAAAGATATTGTCAATGAAATGTACGTCCGTCTACAGTCGATCGGTACGTCAGTCATTACATCACGCAATTCAGATCAACAAAAAACACGTCGATATAATTGCTCGCTTCAGTTCGTGCAATATTATCCTCATTACGCATCTTATTATCTTACTTCTCTCTACATCATCGAAAATACTCGTGAGTTTAGGGAACACGGTCGAAAAAAACCGTCTGATCGCAAAATTATCATGTTTCGTGGTTTGAGAGATTCAGCAAATGAGAAAGCAGAAAGAAAGAAAATTGTCTCCATCCCAGTGAGTTAAATTTTTTTGTAAGAAACCACCACCTGTGGACTACCAGCTGTTGGATTCTAATCATTTTAAAAATTGTCTCGTAACATGTGAGTCAGTTGTTTGCAAAAAACTATTTTATAGTATTTCTCTACGTTTTTTGTAATAAATACAATATTTCGTTCTAATTGATAGAAAGAAATAAACCGGGAAGTAAAGACATTATTAGTTTTAACTACTTAAAACATATAATTTTACACGATCACAATTTACCTTAGATGGTTTATAAATTATAATAGTTAACAAATGTGATATTGATAATTTTATACGGATTTCGATCAAATTTTCAAGCTAGAATATCGTTTACTGATAGATACGCTATCGATGTGTTTATTATCTGCAAATAAAACATGAAGCTATTAAATTAAATAATACGAGATTTAAAAAATGTAAAATAGAAAATATGGATTATATGTATCAAGATGCAATTTTCTGACTTACGTTTGTGAGTGTGTATAATGATAACACGCAAAATTTATTCATAGTCAATATTGCTGGCTTTTCAGATCGAATCATGCACGTTCTGATTAACCGTGATTGCATGGCGGATGATTATACCAATCCGATTTATAAAATGCATTACGTACTCCAGTACTCTGTATAAAATATGAAATTGTGAGATATATATATTTTTTTATTGTAGAGAATGACTAAGAATTTCCGAGTAATTAATTGTGAAAGTAAAATCAAAGAACAATATCAAATAAAGTTTAATTATACAGTGATTGAGTTTACATTATAATCTATTTCCACAAGCGCATAAAGTAAACTTGTATTTAAAAATATATATCTTTATAAACAGTTTTGTTAAAAGTAAAACATATAGAAATAGAAAAAAAATCGCATTTAAGAGATAACACACATACATATTTTCTTTCTCTCTCTTACACTCTTTTATCTTATCATAAACTACTTACTATGCGACGAAAAAGTTTAGACCTGTTTTTACGTTATCGAGACATCTGTATGTATAGTCGGCGTCAATGAATCGTTTCGTAGCCCCGGGAGCTAGGGGTAAGAGAGACGGTATTCCCTAGGAGTAAGTACTGCCAACGGGCGCCGCACTAACTAACTGTAGCAGATTTCGATGAATTGACCAATTACAATATTTACTGCTAGGGAATACCGTCCCTCTTACCCCTAGCTCCCCGCGTCCACGAAACGATTCATTGACGCCGACTGTACAGTAGGGAGCACCATATCGTGCGGCTCTAGAGGGAGTATTTTTCGGAAATTTTTTTCTAGCTGCTCCTATTACTGCGCGCTGCTCTCTTTCGATTTCGGGCTGCTGGCAGAGATCGAAGGAGAACGACGCGCGATAGTAGAAGCAGTCAAAGGAGAAATTCCCGAAAAATACTTCCTCTGGAGCCGCACGATATGGTGCTCCCATAGAGCTTATACTCATGGAGAGGCCCTGCGACCGCAAGGAGGATCGACAAAGAGGGATATATTTTTCTGTTTCAACTGTGGCCACTTCTTATAGAAGAGAATAACAGAGAACACGAAGTGGGGGAGCCACAGTAGACAAAATATATCGAAATATATCTCTCTTTGTCGATCTTCCCGGCGGAGCCCTCTCTATGGTTAGCATATATAGGCAGGGCCTCTCCATGAGTATAAGCTCTATGGGTGCTTCCTACTGTACATATTGAAACAATTAAGAGGATGCTGAACCGTCCTGTTATACCGACGGGACATGTCATTTTAGTAGATCAGACTAATCTCATTATTTACTGTATCAAATAAAAAACGCTTTTCCAGAAGTAAAAAAACACTTATCGGTCTGGTGCTTTTTAGTCTAAAAAGTACCAAAAGTTACATTGTCCTATTATTACTTGATCATATTTTGCTATTTTTAACCAATTTCTAAGCATTGTATAAATATACAGGCACCAGAGCGATAAGCGGATGATATAAAAAAATTAAATGGAACAATCAAAATGTGATTTTATTGTCTAGTTTACGAGAATAGTTAGTTCTTCTAATGAAGCACATACGATAGTAGGCAGGATACGCACACAAGCAGACAGTCGCGCACGTGTGCATATCCCCACCACTATCAGACGGGCAAACAAAACGAAAGACAAGAAAAGAGATATATGTACGTCTATCCTTGTATAAAGGGCACCACCTACTGGACAGCAAAGCAGCTGTTAATCCGCTGGTTCAGCATCCTCTTAAGATCCGTACTTGAAACATCTCATTAAAGCGTTCTCTGCCGCTTAATAATTGATTGTCAGTAATTCGCCAGTGAAAAAGTGAATTTCTTACAGTAGTGCAGTAGCGCGCAGTAGTGCGAGTAAACAGACTTAGACCGCAGTTGCATACACGTTGATCTTTGTGTAAGTATGACTCTTATTTTTCCTCACTGATTTTAAACTTGTGGATTTTTTTGACTACAATTGTCTCACAGTCTGTCTGAAATAAAGGATACAACTCACGTTATTAAGTGACGATGCCTGTGTACTGTAAAATAAAATTTATAATAAAGCTAAGTTAGCTTCTCAGATTCGAATGTCCTTGTGCGAATGGTATTCTCCTGCTTGCATGTAACACACTAGGTTCACGTGTGCTTGTTTACGCGATTCTAGAATTCTCGGAGTTGTGCGAGGCTTCGAGCTCGCGTCAGTCCTTCGCGCTATTCATTTTATTGTTGCCGCGCCGAAGATAATTAGTTATATTAGGAAATGGAATTAATTCGTAGCGTTCTCTTAATGAAGAAAAATTATTTATTTTAAATGAAAATTAAAAAATACATTAATTAAAGTATTGCCCATCGCTTTCTACTACTTTTGACCATCTTTCGGGCAGGGAACGAATACCGTGTCGGAAGAACGCTTTGTCTTTAGATGCAATCCACGAATCGATCTATTTTTGACAATCTTTGTAAGAAGTGAACTTCTGCTCAGACAGGCTATGAGCCATCGAACGAAACAAATAGTAATCAAAAGGAGCAACATCTGGAGAATACAGCGGGTGGGGTAGGACTTCTCATTTAAGTGTTTCCAGGTATGTTTGTACCGGTTTTGCGACGTGCGGACGAGCATTGTCGTTTCAGCAAAATGACTTTGTCGTGTCTTTTGGAGTATTGCGGCCGTTTTTCTTTCAATGCACGGCTCAAGCGCATCAATTGTAGTCGGTAGCGATCCCCAGTTATAGTTTCATTCGGTATTTCAGCAGTTCATAATAAATCACACCCCTCTGATCCCACCAAATACAGAGCAGGAGCTTAAATCCATGGATATTCGGCTTTGCCACTGATATTGATGGTCGGTCGGGCTTAACCCATGACTTTCTGCGCTTCGGATTGTCGTAACGGATCCATTTTTCATCACCGGTGACAATTCGATGCAAAAAACCTTTTCTTTTCTCCCGTTGAAGCAGCAGTTCACACGTCAAAAAACGCCTCCCCGTCAAAAACACTTTATTTGGCACAAATTTTAACATATTTAATAAATTATAGTGTTGTTATTTACGATTCAAAAAAAGCTTATGTAAAGCAAATGACGTCCAATGACAACTGTTTCACAATGAATACATTACTGTAGGTAACCACGAAATATATTGTACTACTTACGCCATGTCTTGTAAAACGCTACGAATTAATTCCAACACCTAATACGTAGTAATAACGAGTAGTGCGAGACATTTAAATTGTGTTTGATCTGTACAAGTATTGTTGAAATACACATACTAAGTGAAGTGCAGCGCAGTTGCTTTGCATCTTCAGTTACCCTAATCCTGACAAGATCGCGGGTGCGTAGCGGTAATTATTAAACACTGTTATTTTAGGCGATTTTTGGCGATCGTATGGTACATATACCAAAGTGTACCAAACTATAGTTTGAAGTCACTCGAACTATAGTGTGTTACACTTTGGTATATGTACCATACGATCGCCAAAAATCGCCTTTTACAGTACACAGCGCGTCACTGAATCGCGGAATAGGCGCGGGAATCGGAGGGCAAGCGGGCCGTACGATTCATACGGCGCTTATTGGCGAGCAACCGCCCCGCTTGCCCTCCGATCCCGCGCCTATTCCGCGATTCAATGACGCGCTGTGTACAATGCTATTTAAGTGATACTGATAATTGTTGCAATTTTTTAACAAATTGTCAATTCTGCACGCGGCTAACTACTGGCCGCAGATATGAAGCGTCATGTTGATTATCAAAGTATCTGGTCCTGCATAACCGTAGGTTATTGTCAGAAAAGCAACCAACAGAAAGATACAGAAAAAAAACACATATAAGTAAACATGTCGTTGATCTCAATAAAGAGAACCGTGCGATACGGTAAATGATACGAGAAATTGGTACCAGACGTCACTGTATACACATATCACGCTAAATTTAATTTCACTGCTTTTTATCTCTGGTGTATTTATACATTAAATTATTATTTCAAGTAGAAAGTCTGCTACTGTTGTTTTTGTTAATCTTATGACTCTTGATTAAAAAACAGTGGCAAGCTTTTTGCTATTCTTTAACATATTAAATAAGCAATATATCTTATACAAAATATACGCTATAAAAATTATACAATTACACGCAGCATTAAATGTACTTCAGAGATATTTCACTTTATACAAAAAACAAAGTAGTGATACGTTCGGAAAAGTAATCACTGATGAGTGTTCTCGCTCGACTGTTACTATTTAGTCACAAATACATGTGTCGCAAGTTTATTGTATTCTTTGTTTTTGTATAATAATTTCCGCGCGCGAACAAATCTCGTGTTTCATTCTGTTTCCCTTCTAACACTCGCGGCTCGTCGTTTCTGAGCAATAAGCGGCAACGTACACGCGGGTCGTACTAGCGATTGCCGAATTATTTCTCAATAATATGTGCACAAGTTGATTAAAAAGATACGAAACGAAACAGTGTGAGTAATTTAGTGCACCATAATTTACAGTAATTTTGAAAAAACATTTCATATATTCGTTTTCTAAGAAAGATAACGATACGCATTTCTCCTTTTCTTAGAAAGCTCGTTTTTATCATTAGATCTCTGGAACCATGTATTTACGAAAGTAAACAAATTTCACTTTTTACTTAAATATTGAATAATGTTTTTAAACATTGCTAATTGTCAAAAAAATGAATGAGTAAACATGACAGATCAACTGTTGGAGTTTTATCAAAAGAACTCTGGTGCTGATTTAACACGAGTAAATAAAATTTTATTTCTTCGAACGTAATATTTCACTTGAACTCCAATTTTCCAAGAATGTTTGCAAGTAATATATTGTAGCCGCCACTATTGTAATACCCATCGAAATCTTGATGAATTTCAAGCCGATCTTGTTGTACCGTAAGTACACGGTCTTCTCTTGTACGTTGTGGTAGGCCTCGGTCGTGAAATCACGATTTCGATGATTTTCAGAAATTTGCTCAGTATATCGCAGCCTCGTCTCATTATCACTATCTTTCCGGTCAGTATCAGAAATAAAATGTTCTCCGATAAATCCGTGATGACGCACTCTAGTATGTCGCATTCGAACAGGTAGCTCAACTCCATGATCCAGATATTTATGAAATATATGACGAAAAATACGAACACACGGGCTGATTCACTCCGATCGGTCACAGACCTGAAAATCTCAAAAAACATCTATTCCAGATTATTACGTTTGACGTTCGAACGAACTCAGTTGTCTGAAAATGAAAGAATCATTGTATGATACACCACGTGTAGAATAGGACAAATTTCGATAAGAGAAATTCTCGCAGATATTCTAATTTTATTTTATGTTCTAATATATTTGTGTCTAATATATTTTATCTTATATTCTAATTTTATCTATGTTATCTTAAGACACGAAATTGGAAGTGTATTACGAATTACGTATGTAAACTTTACAAGAACTGTAGTAAATCGCTACGTCTGGAGTCGTATACTTGAAAAATTTTGTCATCGCTCTCTCTGTACAGTGTATTGTTTAATTAAGTAAACAATTTTCTTCAATTTCTTTACCTGCATAATGCGGCTTCGAGTGTGTCCAGATGATACAGCAGTTCGCAAATATGCTTTCCCGACTACGAGAAAAACTTATTCTACTAACAGGAGAATACATGTCGGTTACATGAAGAAAATTGACTATCTTGTTAATACTGTCATATTGTCAAGCCAGTACTGTACATTTTATTTTTCAGGCTATAACGTCAAACGTAGAATCGTACGAGTAGTCATCTAAAAATATCTAGAGTTTAATATTAATTAAGGCATATTATCTTAATGACAGCCCTCTTAGTGCCGATAATTATTGAGTTTGGGAGGACTAAGCTCCGATAACCTTAAGTACCGTATTTCGATGTAGGAGAACTTATTGACTTGATTGCAAGTGATTAAATTAAATTATCATGTTTCGTGGTTCGAGAGGTTCAGCGAATGAGAAAGCAGAACGAAAGAAAATTGTCTCGTAACATGTGAGTCAGTTGTTTGCAAAAAACTATTTTAGTATTTCTCTACGTTTTTTGTAATAAATACAATAGTTATTACAAATATAATTGATAGAAACAAATAAACAAAGAGGTAAAAACATTATTAGTTTTAACTACTTAAAAAATATAATTTTACATGATCAAAATTTACTTTACGTGGCTTATAAATTATAATACTTAACAATTGTTATTGATATATAGATTTTTATCAAATTTTCAAGCTAAAACATCGTTTTACGAAAAATTTCTTAACATGGATAGATACGCCATCGACGTTTTTATTAACTGCAAATAGAACATGAATCAGTTAAATATAAAATGCTAATGGTAAAACATAGAATATATGTATCAAGATATATATATAATTTACTGACTTACGTTTGTAAATGTGTTTAATGATAACACGCAAAATTTACCCATAGTCAATATTGCTGGTTTTTCAGCTCGAATCATGCACGTTCTGATTAACCGTGATTGCATTGGCGAATGATTATACCAATCCGACTTGTAAAATGCATCACGCACTCCAGTACTCTGTGTAAAATATAAAATTATTGTGAGATATATATTTTTTTAATTATGACTAAAGAGTGACTAAAAAACTTCCGGTTAATTAGTTGTAAGATAAAGATCAAACAACATTCATACATCAGATAAAGTTTACTTCTGTTATAAGATAAAGCAGTCTGTCTAGAGAACACTTAATGATAACATCGTTCACGTATAAAAGATCGAAATGACGATTATGTCATTAAATGACAATTATTTTTTATTTACCTCGGTAATGAGACATTCTCCTGTATAGCAATATGACCAGATTGTTATAAGTAGGCAGAATATGTACAATGTATAACTTATAACAGTACTGACTTCTTTATCTTCGCTAGAAGCCGGATTCTAAAAAGCATTAGAAAATTGATCAAACATCACGTTAATTATATGCGTCATATTGACATGCAAATTGCTATTATTTCTACAACGCACAATGACATTTTATCAATTATAACTGATTTGTTCTTAATTATCATCAAGTATACGTCAAAACTTGGATTTTTGTGTTCGTAAAACTTACCACAGCCATGTACAAGGTTAAACATAGTAAGACTGTACTGCCCAAACTTTGCGCAAAAAATATCAAGTTGAAAGTATTCTCCAATTGTTCCGCTAATCTGAAATGCGTTACATTGTTAAAACATGATTAGATTATTTTCTGTATAGAATTAAGATCAACAGCATTTGCGTATAAAATACAAAATCATTAAAAAAAAAAACTGTATTTTGCAATTGTCTTAAATTCGAGATATATAGAGTGTGATTGAGTTTATATATAATCTATTTCCACAAGCGCTTATACACAGTTTGTCCGGAAAGTTCCCGGACTACGTGAATTAAAAATCGAAAATGAAAGATATGGTTTATTAAACAAGTTTACACTTCAAG